TTGTTGTATCAACATGTTAGGTGCCAGGGTTACATGAATGTTACAATAGTATAAACAGGTTTGAGTTCGCGACACCTGCTGTTCTGATCGTTGAAATGTTTCAATTTTAACTAACACCTTAAAAACGATTAAATACAGGGTTAGTGTGTTCTGACCTATATTTAATCGCCTATAGCCAGGTATATTTAAACTATCATCAGTTCAACAAGACGTCCTGTCATCCTGCCAGTCGTTACCCGTGAAGGTCCGGGTTAGAATGAACCTTCAGTAACCCATGCTTGTCGTAAGAGGCGACTAACGGAATCGGGGGGTCGGGCTCGCTGGCTTGGTTGACACATGTCATCGTATCCCAATTGCGTAGATCGATGCTTATGCCGTTGATCACTGGATTGTCTGGTCCAGACTCGATTATTTACAGACCGCTGCCATATAGCTGGAATATTGATGACAGAGCGGCGTAAAACTAAACTCACTCACTTCAGATGGGAAGCGGCATAGGTGTCCCTTTCGTTTTAAGGCGCCGAAATTAGCTAAGCAGAGTTGCGTCCCTTTAAGCAGGTCAGAAACCCATGGTCATGGGTTGACACATGTCATCATATCCCATTTGCGTAGACCGATGCTCATAATATTGATCATTGCATTGTCTAGTCGAGACTCGATTATTTACAGACCGCCACCATATAGCTGGAATATTGCTGAGTGCGGCGTAAAACAACACCCAAACCACTCGCACACAACAGATGGCCATGAAGGTGGGCCATGAGGGTGGGCCTGGTGGAGTCAGTGGGTTCGAACGGTATTTCATCACACGAGGGAGGAAAGTACATACGGCAGTGTTCGTTGAGGATGAAAATAAACTCTGTCAAAAAAGAAACGCAACCCCTGTATTTTAGAGATTTTGATCTGAAGTTTTAGGACGACACGGCATTTTTATTATTTAAGACAGAAGTCTGAAATTTGGCAGAATAATAACCCAGATGGGCATGTTTAAAATTGTCATTTCAAAAGTCATCTCACAGACACCAGTTTGTCACCAGGGGGGCGTCTTTCTCAGTATCTCGTATGAGCACCACGCGCTGCAATCACTGCACGGCATCTCCTTGGACAAGAACGGATAAGACGCCGGATTCTTTCCTGGGGAATGGCTCTCCACTCCTCCTGCAGTGCAACGGCGAGCTGTTGCAGCGTCTGTGGCGGCGGCTGACGTTGACGGACGCGTCGATCCAGAGTATCCCACAGGTGTTCAATAGGGTTGAGGTCTGGTGATTTAGAGGGTCATGGCAAGACATTGACGTTGGAATTCTGCAGAAAGTTCATTGTTGCACGTGCAGTATGAGGCCGGGCGTTGTCCCGTTGAAAAATCTGTGTCTGTTGGTCAATAATCGGGAGAAGGTGAAGCTCTAACACGTGGTTGATGTAACGTTGGGCTGTCAGGTTCCCTGGAACGATCACCAAGTCTGATTTCTGGTTGTATGAGATGGTTCCCCAAACCATGACGCTTTCTCCGCCAAATCTGTCCACCTGTCGGACGCAGATGGGCGCAAAACGTTTATGACGTCTCCTATACAGACGCTGTCTTCCGTCGTGACGTTGCAAAAGAAAACGTGAGTCATCAGAAAACCAGATTCGCCTCCAGTTTTGTAAAGTCCGTATCCTTACGTTGTTGCACCACCTGAGTCGTCGGCGTCGATGTAGGGGGGCGTAGTACAGGTCCAACAACTGGTCTACAGGCACGTAAACCCGCTTCTTTCAGACGGTTCCTAATCGTTTGAGCTGACACTCTCCTCAAACCTGGTATTTGTGTGGCAGTCACGGTTGGTAGGGCATGCCGATTACGCAGGTGATGGACCCGGATGTACCGATCTTGAAGGGGGGGTCGTGATTCTTGGCCTTCCACTTCTCGGGCGATCGTTGGTCAAATTGAAGTTGTTGTAGCGGCTCCAAAGTCGGGATATCGTTGTTTTGTGAACATTTAGGTGCCGTGCAACAGTTCCAAAACTTTCTCCGGCTTGAACACGACCAATGGCGATATTTCGGTCGGCAGCACTCAATCGTGGCATTTTTAACACAGCTTTTCGGCGACAAATGAATGAATATAATACGGAAGCACATGGGCTTTTATACACCCCTACATTTACTGCCATTTTCATGATTTGCATGTGTTTTTTTTGTGCGAAGTCACCATGAGGGTCATTTCATGCGTTGTGACGGAATAAGCAATAAAATACACTTATGCGTACAAATGCAGTTGTTTGGATGGTAATCTTCATTAATTACGTGTATCATTTCCATACATTCGAATAAAATTTAGTTTGGAAGCAATAACTTCATTCAAACGAATTTTTCATATCTGAGGACAGGGGTTGCGTTTCTTTTTTGACAGAGTTTATTAAGTCAGGCAACGATCACACCATCACCTATCACATATACTCACTCAGCCACGTATATAATACAAACATATATTGCTGGGCAAATTGAGGCAGGCACTCATGCTTGATGGTAGCTATCATGACAAGACAAGACAAGATTTTTATTAGGTCAAAGACCAATACAATATATATATATTGAATATTTGCCTGTGCACATGGCGATGTACGTATATAAAGAGAGCAATCACATTGTTATTATCATTATAGCCCAAGAGTGAGGATATGTATGGACGATTTACAAAAATTCAACTTTGTTTCTTTCATTTAAGATATGATAAATACACTTTGCAGCTTTCAGTACTTCAAAACTGTTTTCACCTTTGAACAATTTGATAAACTTAAACATACTTATATTTTCCAATAAAGTATTACTTAAATGCTGTTTACGTATTTCTCGATATTTTGGACAAATCAAGAGTACGTGGTACTCATCTTCTATTTCGTTAGTACAAAAGGGACATAATCTATTGGCAAATGGGATTTTAGGCACACTCCATCTTCCTTTTTCAATCATAAGCATATGTGAACTAAGTCGGAAACGTGTAAACGCAATTCGGTACTTCCTAACATCAATATTAGTTAAATATTTCTCGATGCACAGAGTTTCCTTAATATGAAGATACAATCTAGTTTCACTTAAAGTTGATAATTGATGTTTCCACATTTGAGAATAAATGTCCTTAACCCTTTGCGTAAATTCTCTCACAAAATCACAACTTTCAGGAACATATTGGGCAACCCAAATATAGCCAAAACCAAACCTGAAGAGCGTATCTCTCAGTAAACTTGCCCAGTTTTCAACATCAGGGTTCTCATTTGAAATATTCAATAATGAATTATACATCAAAACTATATATCTATCTGGTTTACTTCTCAAAATCTTAAGCCAATATTTGATAATCCTGACAAGACGAATAACTTTCAAAGGGGAATGTACCCAATTCTCCATATAAGAAAGTTGATGGAGTTGACATTTTGACATATAATATGTGTTTCATAAATTTCAAGTGTACCTTTTCAATAGCATTAGCTTCCATAAAGCCCCAAACCTCGCAACCATATGAGAGAATAGGAGAAACAACTGATTGGAATAACTGATACTGAATATCTGGAGTAATGTACGCATTATCATTGAATATATTGTACAATGAACCAAGTGCCTTCAAACCTTGTTCTGATAAGATTTTCTGAGCTTGTGAAAAAACTGCCACCTGTTGAAAATATTAAACCTAGATATTTAAAATTATTGATTACCTCAAGAGGTGAACCATTATAGGACCATTTTTCAGCCTTGCCTTGTCTACCCCCTTCTACCCCTGCCTTGTCTACCCCCTTCATGAAACAGTATAAGGGTTATCCCATGGTGATATCTTCCGTATGTGTGTCATATGTGTTTTGGACCGCAAGGTAACATTGTTTCCTTGACCATTTTCAGTCAAGTAACGCTTCCATAACATTTGTAAATGACCCAGACAGTGTATATCCGCATTCCTGTGTAAGATTGATGTAGGTGGGAAAAACAGAACGCGTTTCAATCTAAAAAACACTATGAAAACCTGATAGCTCTACATGTTTCCAACCTGCCACGTGATCCATCATGATATATTACCAAGCTGGTTAGCCATGAATTTTTCAAACATTTCAAATATCTTCCCGTTGATTTTATTTAAAAGCTTTATTTAGTGCTGTTTTCTCGGTTCTTTCACTGAAAAATCTATAAACACCGTGCTAACCGTTCTTTTTTTAAATGTCTGAATATTTGATGAGCATTTACACCCATCTAGGTTCGCGTGCAGCTACCGTGGTCATATGAGAGGGGCTTACACTTATATCCGGGCAATTAATCATTGTTCAATGGTTTATATTGAAACAGTACTGGGTTCAATCTGGTATTAAACCAACATTGTCTTCAAGTAAGTAACGACACTGTGTAAAATGGTCGCCCGTACAGGCGTGTAATAATAACAATCGCATACCGGAATTAAAGCGCAACTCAACGGCGTGTCGATTTCAGAGATCCTTGCGATAGACTAGACGAAGATAAATCAAAAGCTAAAAGGCTTTCGTGTTTCCTGGTGAGTTTTACACGTTCTGGTTGAGGACTTTGTCTGATTCATTTCACATCAGTTCCACTCCGTGTTTAATTCTTAACTGACAAAGACCCATCATTGAATGTGCGTTCGGTTGGTTAGTTCGGCAAGTAACTCAAATTCGCTCCCGCATTCTGGTGATGATGTGTCTTGCACAAATAGAGTCCATGACGTCATAGTCTGCATGTAATTAAACTGCATGATGAGTTGGTATCATACAGAAAACCAACTGTCCCAAAATTTAGAATAACAGCACTAACGACGAGTGACATTTTCTTCTTGAAGGCCCAATATATGCACTATCAAGACAGGTCTATTTTTCGAATACTGTTGACCCGACGAAATCCAGAACTCACCAATGCCCGTACTGCATGTTGAACACGAGGACTCCTGTATAGGCAATGCGTATTGGTACTAACCGTTCTCTATGCTGATGAATAATATAACAAACATACCCAAGAGATAACTTAAAGGAACTTACTTTCTAGCACCTGTACAACGTTCTCACTCCGACGGAGAAACTTCATGCAGGCGAACTTGGGTGTTCTGGAAAACAAGATGTGTGTATGCTAAACCTTATAGAATAGAGATATATGAATCGATAGGTCATTTGTTAAGATGTCTAAACACATTTCTTGTATCTGGAGGAAGTGAGTGAGCGATTTTAGTTTTACGTCGCTTTTAGCAATATTCCAGCAGTATCACGGCAGAGGATACCAGAAATAGGCTTCACACATTGTACCCTTGTGGGGAATCGAACCCGAATATTGTCAGTCATCCACTGTATGCGGTACGGTTTCCCATGTAACAGATTCACCAGGTGATACGAGGCGTGGTCCTTCAGAGGGGGCGGTGGGGTAGCCTAGAGGCTAAAGCGTTCACACGTCACGCCGAAGACCCGGGTTCAATTCCCCACATGGTTACTGAGAGTGAAGCCCATTACTGACATTGTTGGAATATTGCTAAAAGCGTCGTAAACCTAAACTCACTCACTCACTTTCTTAAGAATCGACAAGAAAAGATCTACTGTTAATGTAAAGAATAGTTCCTACATGTCCTTCCAAATCTCTTTCAATCCCGATATTCTGAATTTCCATAAACAAAGTTTCGGAACTCACGTGACAAATTGTTCAAACGGACTGTGTGAAAGTTGTATGGTTTTACGCGTGACGAGCGAACGCTTAACCATTAGGCTACCCCACCGCCCCTCAAGCAGATTATGACTAGCTACACCTGCTGTCAGTGTAGATCCACCATGCATCGTTGAAGGAAGACTGTACAAGCGCAAGCTTATTTTCCATGGATAGTTTTGGCGACGAACAAAATGTCTTCACGATTGCGATTATTCGCCACCATAGATTAGGGCATTGATACATGAATGTGTTGATAAACGACATGAAATATATGGTAGAAATAATACAAATCAATCACCGTTTAGGTCATTATATGTCAGTAGTTGAGTACAAAATTGCCCCTAACTGTCACAAGCGGGCTCTCAGTCTCTCCTAATATGACAACCCCTCGTCCCCTGCTGACTGTAATACAATTAGACTCCTCACAGCGCCAGGGGTGTATGGTGCATCGTGAAGGTATAATTGCAGCTCATTTTCTGTTGACTCACTTGATTAGTACAAGAAGATGGAGGACATATAATCTCCTTGTTGTACACCGCGCTGAGGAGTGAGTGAGGAGCGTTAATGAGGATGACAGTAATCTTACAGCAATACTATGTCCGATGACCAAGAACAAACCCACGTGAGGATTCGAACCCCTTTTTTGTCAAATTGTAAAGAACAGACACGCTGGTCATAACCATAAGCGGCTGGGATTTACATTAAATGGATCATGGTAAATGGAAAGGTATTACATGTCCTATATTTGATAATTTAATAATAATATAGTTTTGTTTAGCGCTAGATTCCATAAAAAAACATATTCTCAAAGCGCAACACGGAATAGAATAAAATACATTATAAAAGACTGGATACTAGAGGGAAAATGTCAACACTAATGAGTCTGTGTACAGATTGGGATTCAGGCATAGGCGATTGTGAAGAGGTGAGTTTTCAGCTGTAACTTAAAATTGTCAAAGGATTTGATTCCTCTCATTTCTAAGGGAAGGTCATTTCAGAGCATCGTTGCAGCATTTCTGAATGCCCTTTGTCCATATCCCTTCATTCTGTAAGGTGGGACTTACAGAAGATGTTGGCTTTATATATCAATAGACACTTAGTATGTCCTCTGTGTAATTCGTTCCATCGTTATCTTACAGTCAGATGATATAAGAGTCAATTCCCTTTCGAAATCATAAGAATACAAAAAATGGTGTCCGACTATATTATCAGCTTGTGTTTACGAATCACCGTCAATTAGTGATGATACCAGGTGTTCGCTTAAAGGTGAGCGTATTCTAGCCCATAATACCCGCTAATCGTTCACGCATGAAAAAACACCGGAACATATGATACAGGCCAAAATAGGTAATTATATCTTACATGTCTGTCACTGATGCATCAAATTTGGAAATGTCCACCACACGTCTACCATCAAACGTTTTTTCAGCGTTACTAAGGCCTGACCAAACAACGTATCAGCAAATGGCCTGAGACGATCTTCACAATCCTTTTAGAAAGAGCACGCTCAACTGTACTTCAAAGGTTGTGCAGACACCAAGGGCTTAAGCTGCTGGAAAACTCGTCGACATAAATTGAAAGTTGGCTATCGCAATGTTGAAGTCGTCCCCCTTGTTATACAGTTATGTGCATACTTTCTTGTCATTCTGAATCATTGTGTTTCGGTTTTAATATGAAACAGATTGCGGTGTTTCACAGGTCTCTTTTATGTGTTTCTATTTCAGGTGTGCAGGTCAGTGGACTGGACTTCCCTGTATGATACTTACTGAACCATATCAGGCCCCAATTTCTCGAAACAAACTTAAGTTTTTACTCAAATTTCAAACTGAGTTTGACAATTTGAAACAGCTGGAACTTTTAACTCAACTGCATTTTTAAAATAAAAATGCCCAAACAACTTAAGTAATCTATCTACCAAACTCAAATTGTCTACTATGTTTGAGTTTAATATTGATTTCAGTTTATTCTGGGAAATGCATTTTTCTGTGTTTTCTCAAATTTGAGTAAAAACTCTTAACTTAAGTCGAAACTCAGACTTAAGTTTGTTTCGAGAAATTGGGGCCAGATCATCAATATGCCTGCAAATTAACCCTACGAACGCACCGATTTCGATGTTTTGAATACAACATTTCCATTAACGATGTTACGATCTATTAAGTTTTGCACAGTTTTGCCTACCCATGGTACTTGCTGTTTGCGTCCAACTACTTGACCAAATTTCAATTTTTAGATTTTGTCAGTCAGAGCAGTAATTCCGATCCCGTTGCTGAAAGATCGGCATTGATGGCAACACGACTGTTGCCTGTGGGAATACCAACGTCTTGCAAGATTGTCCAATTCCTAAATTTCATGTATGTTATCTGTGAGGAGTCTTGCAAGAATATCCAATTCCTAAATTTCATGTATGACATCTGTGAGGAGTCTAGAATTTCAGTAACTTCAGATGACATTTGCTTTCAGTGTTGACAAATTGTCCTGACACGTTGAGGGTAGTGATGCGGAAATGTCTGTGATAACTACAGATAGTAATAGATACCTCACTGATCAAGGAAGTAAATGTTCTATTTACTTAGTTGAAGGCATGCATTGATGTTGAACAAAGTTGAAAAATAATTGTTAATACAAATAAACTGAACTTGGTTCTTTTCTCAGATTGTGAAACTTGAAGATAATCAGTTCATGTTTTGACATAAGCATTAATAGCCTTCATAAAGTAGTGATTCCGAGGAAAATGAGGTCTTGATGGTTGACAGATCTTGGTCGTTAGGTGAAAAAATATTCTAATAAGATGTTTTGTACAGGGGTAGGATACCATCAGTAAGTTACGAAAAATAAATACCGATTTATTCTTGGTAAAAAGCATTTCGTATGAGAAACCACTTTGTTGTGAAAACGATCATCAACGTCAGTATAATAACAGGTAACCAACATTCTTTCGTCCTTTAGTGTCGCTGGGTCCGTCCACCAAGTAAACAAATGTAAAGCTTGGTATAGAAACAAACAGCTTGATCTAATGTGATATGGCTTAAGTAAACGTACTAACTAGATCGTCGCAAGAAGTTAATTATCTTGAATCTACGATTAAAACTTTACTGGATTAGTTAATATGGTTCTCAAAGTCTTTTACTTCCGTCACTGTACGAGAGCCCTCGATGTAGTTTATGTTCAGACAGTCGGCCAACTGCGGTCAAACCCATGAGCTGGGGCCCCGACGTTACCACAAACCCTAGAATTACGTTAGCTCAGAGTGTTGGGGTGCTAACCATATTAGGAACGATTATAGAATTAAGGGGGGTCACACTTTCTCGGCACGGTTCCATAAACACTTACTCCGGTTACCTGGCATTTTATCCTAATTTTACCTCAACATGCTACCTTACAATAACGTAATCGTAAAACTTATGAAATATATTTATTATTTAAAGCTACAAGAAACCTCTGGGTCATATTTGTGCGTAAAAGGTGGTTGTTTTGGTTAAGCAGTTTAACAGTGTCATCACAATTAGGCTACTCATTCCAGGAATTAATTGATCTACGTTGATTCTAACATGTTGATCATGTTCTAAATCTGTCTAATATCGAAGGTATTTAATCATATGTTAGATAAGTCAAATATGAAAAACTAAGTATTACATTGTCTGAGAATTGGTACCTCCTCCGTTGGATGCTTTAAGAGAGATATGACAGAACCTCAGTCGTGATAAGTTGGTCATTTCAATGCCGCTACTAAACTCGTACCTAATTTTCAGAGGGGCGCCAATATAGCGGGTTTATCGGTACCCTGATGAAGCGGGTTGGATTCCCCACACGATTACTATATGTTGAGCCTATTCTTGGTTTCTCTGGAACATTGCTTAAATCGCTTCATCCGAACTCACTCACTCTTTCGCCAGTCAGTTGGTTTGTTGTTTAACGCTCAGCAATATTCCAGCTATATGTCGTCGGTCTGTAAATAATCGACTCTGGACCAGACAATCCAGTGATCAGCAGCCTGAGCATCGATCTACAAAATTGGGATATGATGACAGACAGAAAGGAGATATTTAAGTGCCTCACCTGTCGGGCCCATACTGTACCACCTGGAACTTATTAAACCCCTTGGCTGCTAGACATGTCCTGTTGTAGACGAGCTGTCTCTGGGAACACTGGCCGAAGCTGGTCTTCCTGTAGGCTCGCCTGGTCACACGGTCACAGTTCTTGAGGATGTCGCGGTGGCGCCACAGCCACGGGCCGTCTATGAAGACGTCCTGCTTCTCCACCCATCTGGGTAGGTGGCGCAGGTTGAGCCACCACATCCGGGTACTCCAGGGTTTCAGTGAGCCATCTTCGGACGGGCTTTGTAGGAACTCCGGAAAGACGCAGGTGGTCTGCACTAACGTACCTGGAGCAAGAAGTCAAGCTGTATATGACTCATTATAAACTGGTTGGTTGGTTGGTTGGTTGTTTAACGCCACACTCAGCAATATTCCAACTATATGGCGGCGGTCTGTACACATTCGAGTCTGAATCAGACGATACAGTGATCACCAACATGAGCATCGATCTACGCAACTGGGATACGATGACATGTGTCAACCAAGTCAGCAAGCCCGACCACCCGATCCCGTTAGTTGCCTCTTACGACAAGCATGGGTTACTGAAGACCAATTCTAACCCGGATCTTCAGGGGTTACTGAAGACCAATTCTAACCCGGATCTTTACGGGTCCGTCATAGACTGGTGTGTAAACATGTTTAATAAATATGTTAAATTTCAAATATTTAAAACACGATACTGTTGTTTAAGTTGACTCTACTGTAGGAATTCACTGCATGGTCATTCTGAACCTGCATTTTCATATATATCTTTCAGTCACAATGCAAAATCATATAATAGAAAATATGTATGAACCATAAGATGGTAGGGTAGGAGATATCGCTGGAATTTCCTGAATTCGGTATTAGAATAAATGACCCCTTTCTACCGCCAGTATCAACAGGTTCGAGTGATGAACATAATGAATCAACATTCACAAACCGATGAACACATTGTGATGACTCCCAGTGTTCGCGAATGAGGACAAAGTTAGTGTGATAACGCCAGGTGTTTGGAAACAAGGAACGTTTGAGCTATACACATGTTCTGTGTAAATATAATTACTGCCAAAAATACGTTAATACGGAAAGATGAAGAACCGACATCAGCGCAAAAAAAATATCGAGTCAGTCGCTATAATCAGAACACAATACGAAATCTAAGCTGTTGGGGAGAAGTTGAGAAATATACACACTTCAAAGCTGGATTTGAGCACAACATTCCAAACGTTTGTAAAACAGTACAATACTGAGGAGTCTGCAAACACAAGGTCCATACGAGAACTATGATAACCATTTCTCGTTTCTTTCGTTTTATCCACCAACAAACACGAGGCTCTACTTTCATTTCGTCGATTGCTTCGATTCTTTCTTTGCATATAATCCGCCGTATCGCGGTGGTCTGCAAACTATCGATTCTGGACCAGACAAACCAGTGATAAATATTATAAACAAAGCCTCGCGTCGGAAGATCCAGTGAATTATGTCGCATTTTACGACCAGTTGGCTGTCGGGTAGGTGAGTTGTTTAAGTGTACGCTCGGCTCGCCGAATTCCCGGTTCACCTGCCCTCGTGGGTAAAGTACGAGTCCTCCGCAGTGATAGTGTTTGAATATTAAGGAAGAGAAGGCTGCGTGGAATTTGTCATTCAACCGGGTTTCAAAGTTAGCCAACCATTCTGATGGGAAGTGTATATACTTTGACAAGTTGCATTGATAGAGTGTTTTACATTCATAATGTCGGCCTGTGTTAGGGTGACTGAACGTATAGATAATATTGATGATAAAATACTATAGATTTATTCTCATCCATGTACAAATTAACATAGCGTGTTCACGTCCCTTCAGGTACAATGTGTGATGCCTATTTCTGGTGTCCCCCGCCATGATATTGCTGGTATATTGCTAAAAGCGGCGTAAAACCCAACTCACTCACTCACTCACTCACGTCCCTTCAAATATGTATCTGACTGTTCCTGTCACTGTCTTCCGGGCTGTCAATCGCCAGTGGCACATTCTAAACTGTCATGTAACCAGAGTGCCGTTGTAGAAAATAGCCTTAGCTACGTGTATGCGTATCGTACATGAGAAAAGTGTGACATGCGTAACAGTGAGTGAGTGAGTGAGTGAGTGAGTTTAGTTTTACGCTGCACTCAGCAATACTCCAGCTATATGGCGGCGGTCTGTACATAATCGAGTCTGGACCAGACAATTCAGTGATCAACAGCATAAGCATCGATCTACGCAACTGGGATACGATGACGTGTCAACCAAGTCAGCGAGCCCGACCCCCGATCCCGTTAGTCGCCTCTTACGACAAGCATGGGTTACTGAAGATCAATATTCTAACCCGGATCTTCACGTGTGTGTGTGTGTGTGTGTGCGTGCGTGTGCGTGCGTGTGTGCACGCGCGTGTGGCAGGGGTCTCTGTGGCGTATAACATGTCACTGTATACAAAACACAAAACAAACACGAAAATGACAAATAAATATTAAAATTGGCTTCATTATTATTGCATTGAAACGTTTCTTGTGTAATTTTACATAAATACCAAATGAGCAAATAGATAAGAAATGTGGAAGCAAAAAGAGTCAAGATATCTTAATTGTTACACTATACATTACATCGTTATCCACGAACTAAATGATTATTGTTTGTCTAATAACTGGGAAAATATTTAAATCAATAATGAATATTCAGCTATAAACAAACTGATAATTGACTTCAGCTATTTTCACACAGTGGAAACATTTCTTTTGGCAATTCAACAATGTTTAAGAAATCATGTTATCTAAAACGGCCTGGTGAACAAACTCAGATGATAGTTTTATTCAAAATCAGAAAAGAATAAAAAATGTAATTTAACCCATTACTAGACCATCATTTAAAGATGCCATTTTTAATCTTTGATACAGAGAAATCGATACATTTAATAATCATATATTTATACAATGTTCTTATCTATAGAGAGATAATATCTTTATGTTTTATATGTTGATGCCTTATCACAAAGAAGTCAATGTTGAACTATTTATAAAATATTTCACACCCTTTAGCGTCAGCTTGCGACCAACTTCCATGCCTATGAAGAAATCAGGCTAACAATTATGTTCACACCGCTGTCGAAACATGTAGCTGCCCACAACGATTATACAGTACCAGGGAGGGCGGCGATTCCCTTGGGGTCCGGGGCCCCTTCGCCTCCCCGTCCCTCTCATCTTACATGGCAGTAATTGGCCTCCCTTTTCACCAGGGATTACTCCCAACATTGTTCCAGTGGTCAAATCAGGAGCAGCCAGAGCATTGATTCACGTGGCCAGTGATGATTCTAAGCTTTCAGTTAACCTGCATGCTCAATTAACATTTCCTATAAAATCAAATGAACGTTGATTTTTATCTCTCATTGATGACGCGGTCTCAGACTTAATTATGTCATTAACCTCGCGTGTGTCTTATACAGTTCATGATTGTCACTGTGGTATAAAAGGACATCCAGATAAAGAAACATAGTAACATATATTCGAGAGTAACGTTGGGTCGGTCTAACGCAGCTTCAAACTGTTTTTTGTTACATAAAAAAGTGTCAGCTTAATACAAAATGAGCATCTACATTGCACCAATCTACACCTTAAACAATGCTAAAAGCTCTACAATATTGACCGATCAGTGTATCATTATATGCGCGATTTTCATTTTCAGCTCCTTGGGGAGTATCTTTAATGCAGATTGGCACAAATGTTGGGTATTTGCAGTCGCCTCTCATGAAGACGCGTATGGTGGATGCTATCGGGGAACGCCACGTCACTAATGTCATGGAGGCTAATGAATCATTTGATAAAAGCACTCCCACTAAAGCACAACGTCTCCCACCAGTACACGTCAAAACATATACTAAATGTTTTACTTCAAAAGAAACTCATCAGGTGGAGGTCCATTTGCACAGCCGTTAACATTTCAGATGAAAACCCGTAAGAGGCGACTAACGGGATCGGGTGGTCAGGCTCGCTGACTTGGTTGACACGTCATCGTATCCCAGTTGCGTAGATCGATGCCCATGCTGTTGCTGAGTGCGGCGTAAAACTTAACTCATTCACTCACTTCAAATGAAAATTCGAGTTAGATAACTGAAAGTCCAGTTCCTACATTTCAAAGAACAACTGGACGGGTTTGTGACAGACGCTATCGCTGAGGCCGAATGCCCGCATCTCTTCGCACAATACCTGGTATCAGCAATACTTGGCAGTGATTCGTATCACGGATCCAAGCACGACATTATTGTTCATTAGTAATAAAAGAACCGAAACGACCACTCATGTTTTTTAAATGCAGTGGGAAGCGGCATAGGTGTCCATTTCGCTTTAAGGCGCCGCAATTAGCTAAGCACAGTTGCGTCCCTTTAAGCAGGTCAGACACCCATGGTCATGGGTTCGAGTCCCGATCAGAGGCGATTATGTTTCTCTATTTTTCAGCACTCTACCCCGTTTATGGTTGTCACAAAAGTAAAATTCCCACATGAGGCTGACAAAATAATGATTATCTTGAATGGTGTTAAAAGTAGCGGTCACTCGTTCTCCTATTCAGTGTTAATGCAGAAATGAGGTAATCCGGATGACTACGACCAATGTAGCACAGATTGTCGTGATCTCATTGTGTAATGTGTAAAGCAAATAGTGATTGAATTAACAACAAAGTACAAGGGCAAATACTTAAGATCGTCATGGATAACTCCGCATTAACTAAACTACACTTGACATGAAACACTAAGTATAACGCATTAAAGCACTCAAGCGCAGAGTATACACTCCACTAATTGTGATATCGCCATGACCCGGTGGGACTGCAAACAGTCGGTCGGTCATCGTGCAATGTCCGTCATGTTGAACCATCGACCTGCACGTGCAGATAACGCCGTGACGTCACATCCCGAGTCATCTATTTTGTCATTGTGAATCTGGTGGAACCGACACAGTAAACAGCCAGAAATTGATCCGCCGTTTCGCGGCCTCTGCAGATGACTATCGTCCTATGATGAATAGCCACAGCTTAGAGCGGCTGCAAAGAGGACAGTGTTAATACTCGCCACGACACGGGGGCGACATGTCTTCGTTCAACGTGAATCCCGTTCACTATTTCTATCTTTTTCTTCTTTTTTTTCTGTTTTTACGATATACTCATGATATTTATACAAAATATTACACTTCATCAGCACTAGTCTGATCCACAGTCCCTGTATTATTTTATTACCCTTCACACTTGTCTGCAATGCAAAGGCCCTAAATAAAGCAAGTCTAGATTTTATTAAGGTTTTGA